ACCAGCGACCTCTTGGTGCATGGGTCAATGCTCAACCACTGAGCCACACCGGCGGGGCATGTCTGTGCCTGTGCCTGTGCCTTTCCCTTTCCCTGCACCCTCCCCCCATGTGCATTACCATTACCTTCCTCCCTCCCAAGCTCCAAGGGCCCTTTCTTTACCTCTTAAACTTGTTTCCTAAGCCCATTTCTTCTACAGATTACTTCTTTATCTCTGCGATGTTCCAAATATATGTTCTCTTATAGTTTGAGTCTTGGCTCTGAATTTTCTTTCTTTTTTTTTATTTTTTATTCTCACCCAAGGACATTTTTGCATTCATCTTCAGATAGAGCGGGAGGGAGAGAGGGAGGAAGAGAGAAAGAAACATCCATGTGAGAGAGACACATTGACTGGTTGTGCTCTGAATTTTCTGGTCAAGCACCAGTAAGTTAATCTGTTACCTGGGCCCTCTCCATTCCCATAGAAAGAATATGCAGTATTGCCCAGCAGGAAGGACCAGCTTTTCAGTCTCCCCAGGGTACAATCAGTCCACTCACCTGGACTTTGGGGTGGGGGAGGAGGTGGGAAGATAATAAACAATAAAGGGGCCCTGGCCAATTTGGCTCAGCGGTTGAGCGTCAGACTGCGGACCAGGGAGTCCCGGGTTCAGTTCCCGCTAGGGGCATGTACCAAAAAAACAATAAAGGGGAAATTCCTCTGCTGGGTGCACATACAATAGAAACCAAGATGACACAGGGGGAGCCACAGTGAGGACCATAAGGGGCAGAGCCTAGCCTGGTTAAAGGATCCGGTTGGATAAGAGACAGAACCGCAGGACGTGGTGAGTGGTTCCAGGCTGGGAGCACATATGAAGCTGTGGGTGGGGGCCCCGGGACTTCCCTGCCACACCGTTCCAGCACCCTCCTCCAGCCCCTGGTCCGTCCTTAGGCTCCTGCCCTCTCCTGTGGCCCAGGAGATCCTGGGTGAGGCTCTGAGCCGGGATCACGTGGCCCTCAGGGGCTCATGTCCCCCTACTCGGGGGCAACAAGCATGGCCTCTCGGACAGGCCTGCCCGGAGCTTAGGCTCTGGGTCCCGGATTCCGAGGCTTTGTTTCCCCAGGGCGGGCCAGGGGAGGGGGCCTCACGGCGACTGCGCTGACCCAGCGGCTGCCCTGTCACTATCCCCGCCAAACAGGCGGCGGGCGCTGGGCTGAGTCACGAGTTGGCCCAGAACCTGGAGGCCTGGAGTGGGGGGTATCCACAAGCGTGGACGCTCCTCCCCTCTACCTGCTCCCCAGGTCCGCAGGGAGCCTATCCCCATCCCAAAAGCATGTACGTCGGGAGGCTGGGTTTGGAAGTAGGAGGGTTGGCGCCAGTCTTGTGCATTCACCACTTACTGAAGGCTGTGCCAGGGACCCTGTAGGGGAATGGGGGAGCACACCAGCCAGCACGGAATAATGGTCATCCGTGGCTCTCACCACTGGGTGTTTAACCTGTGCCAGGCACCATTCTGATAGCTTGGCCTGGATTATCTCATTTAATTCTGCAGTCAACCAGGGAGGTGGATAATAATAATAAAAAAAAGAGACACAGAACCCTGGAAGAGCTAAGAAATTGATTGTTTCCGGGAAGGACTCAATGCGAGGCCATGAAGGGTTGGGAAATTCACTGGTTATTATGAAAGCGTGCCTGGTCCTTCCCAAGCTCAAGATGATATAAACCATGATTCACAAGGAGCCCTCTCTGTGTGTGTCTCTCTCCCCATGACGGGCACTGGCCCGTGCACTCAGGTGTTCTCTGTCCACGGCAGCCACGCGTGCCTAGCAGCTGCCTGGGATCCGGCAGCCACCAGACTCCAAGTGCGGGCTCCAAGTGCAGGCCTGGGCACAGTGCCAGCCGAAGCCAAAACACAGCAGGCTAAGCTAGCCAGATGGGGACAGCCACCAAACCAGGCTAAGCCTTGGCATGGCACAGAATTTCTGGACACTAGCCCTATTTCTGGGCCTTATAAAGACCAGGCTGGACTTTTTTCACAGCAGGTCGAACTGAACCCGGGATGGTCCTTTGTGTTTGCTCCAGTTTCAACAGAGCTTTCTACTCTACCACATCCTCCCATGCATGGCCCCCAAAATGCTTCTCTTGCAATACCACAAAGACCCCATTTCCACCAGCAACAACCCCACTTACCACCCACTGACCCAGCCACACTGCACTGCTCGTGTCCCTGAGCAAGGCCTGTTTGTTCCCACACACCCTGCTCCCTTATCTGGACTGCCCTTCCCTAGCCCCTGGTCCTTATGCTTCGCTAAGTTCTCCATGACTCTGCTGAGAGCCACCTGACCCACCAGGTGGTTGGGGCTCCTCCTCTGTACTTCTAATCCCCTATGTCTCCTTAATCCATCATCTCCCCCACTGGGACCCTACCATTGGCACATCCTTACAGGCTGGGAGCCCCCTCCTACAGCACCACCTCTAGAATGGCTGCTCCACATCTGAGATGATGGAGCCCCCTGACACCCCCCATTTCTTCTCTTCTACAACAGCTCATGGGCAGCAGGTGGGTCCCCAGAGCCTAGCAGAGCGCTTAATTAATTGTCTGCCTGGAGAGAAGGTGTCACTGGCAGCTGGAGTCTGCCCCACAGCTGTTCCTCCCAGCAGGCGTTCCTCTTCCCTAAGACACAGCCTGCAGGGCCCTCAGAGCGAGAGGAGCTCACTGCTTCCTTGGACGGGCCACACGCACCCTGCCGGGAGGAAAGACCAGGCCCTATCCCCACCTAGCTGCGGACCCTCTCCTGTTCCTTTCTCTGAAAGGGGGGTACCACAGTCTCCCCCTTAAGAGTGTCATGACATCTAGCCCTGGCTGGTTTGGCTCAGCGGTTAGAGCGTTGGCCTGCGGTACAGAGAGACCCGGGTTCGGTTCCCGCTAAGGGCATGTACCTCGGTTGCAGTTTGTCCCCAGCCCTGGTTGGGTCGTGCAGGAGGTAGCCACTCGATGTGTCCCTTTCACGTTGATGTTTCTCTCTCTCTCTCTCCCTCTCTTTCTCTCCCACTGTATCTGAACAAAAAATGGAAAAATGTCCTCGGGTGAGGATAAAAAAAATAAAATAAAATATTTTAAAAATTTTTTTACAAAAAACATAGCAAAATAAAAAAAAGATAAAAAGAGTATCATGACATCTAAATAAATAATTCTAAAACAAAGGCTGTTTGTCCATGGAGATGTGGAGAGACACCATCAACATGAGATCTAAGGTCTGGGTTTTTCTTTTAGAAAGAGGTTCGTCCAGCCCTGGCCGGTTTGGCTCAGCAGTAGAGCATTGGACCAAAGAGTCGCAGGTTTGATTCCGGTCAAGGGCACTTACTTCGGTGGTGGTTCTGGTCGTGGTCGTGTGGGAGGCAACCAGTCGATGTGTCCCTCTCACATTGATGTTTCTCTCTCTCCCTTTCTCTCCCTCTCTCCACATGAAGATAAATAGAAAAATATCCTCAGGTGAGGATTGAAAAAAAAAAGGTGTGTCCATCATTGATGTTAACTACTGTAACCCCTCAAAAGTGACCATCCCATTGTAAGGAGTCCATGTACACTGTCCTCACCAATATTGACATCACTCTTCTTCTTGTCAAATCTGGCAGCACTTTGCTGTCCTTATAGTACTCTACTCCAGGTATAACTGACTACCCTTCCTTCTTTTTCTTTTTTTAAATTTTTTTTCTTTATTGATTTTAGAGAGAGAGATAGAAACATAGATAACAGAGAACATCTATTGGCCACCTCCTCCGTGCCCCCCACTGGGGATTTGGCCCACAACCTGGGCATGTGCCCTGACCAGGAATCGGACCAGCGACTTCTTGGTGCATGAGTCAACGCTCAACCACTGAGCCGCACCAGTTGGACCACCCTTTCGTCTTGAAGTGATCCTTCCATATGCTCCTGGGACCCCTTCATCCCCTCTCATTCTGTCCCACTCTTCTTGACTGATTCCTCTTCCTCTACCAGCCCTAATTCCCCAGAGGTCTGTGTCCAGGCCTTCTCTGTGCCTTGGGCAGGAAATGATGCTCACATCCTAGTCTTTGGTCCTGAGTCCCAGACCTCTATATTTAGTGTCCCCCTAGGCAGCTCCATGGGAATGACCCACAACCCCAGGACTCCACACGACCTGAATTAAACTCCCTACATCTGCCCATCATTCATTCTTCTAGAAACTCTTACACATATGCACACACTCGAATCCGTCACCAGGGGCCCTGCTGGATTTCTCTGTGAACCTCTGTAAGCTCAAGTCCCTGTGCCCATTATAGGTGATTCTTGGACTCACTTAAACTCCAGGGTATCTAAAATTGGGACAGTCTCTAACTTCCTTCCCACATCAGGGCCCCCAGGACACCCTCTGTGCCATGTGGTAACAGTCTCCCCATGGACTCGCTGCCCCAGGCGTGACCTGCAATTACCCGGGCCAGCATGCTAGGCATATCGGTTTCAATCTAGGGTAGATAGTCTAGCACCTGACTATCAATCTGGCATGGAAGGAAAAGTCAGTTCCTTAGGCAGATCTCATCTGTCCTTATCGCCAACCCTTGCCTGATCGTCTTCACTCCCTAGGGCGGGGCAGAAAGAGGAAAGGACAATCCAGCTGCTCCGTTTACAAACGGGGAAACCAGGACAGGCCTCCAGAAAATCGAGGTCTAAGTCCCTGGTTTCTCAGCTCCCAAGCAGAGCAGATAGGCAGGGGGTGGGGGCTCAGGCCAACATCCTCTGCTGTCTCTTAATGTGCTCAAAGTTCATATTGGGGATGGCAGGATTTTCTGCTTGACCCGTTAAGATCCTGGGAGGGGAGGAGAGGAGGGTGGGGAGAGGGGAGGAGCTCCACACTGGGACATTCCAGGCCAGCAGGAGCTGCCCTGCCCTGGGAGAGAATTAGGTGGTGCTGGGAGCCCCTGCCTCCCACCTGATCCCAGCTGCAGAGCATAAAAGTGACTCTGGGCCGTGAGGAGTTGGGACACATCTTCCAGAGAGAGTCATCATGGCCTGCAAGAAGTGTTCAAACAAGTGGACCATTGCCAGTATTGCCAGTGTGATCCTGGTGTGTGTCATCGGGTTGGTCCTATGCTTCACGCTGCTGGAGGACCCCCAGCCAGGTAAGGGCCTCCCCACCATGCCGTCAGGTTTGCTTCCCCCATCTCCCACTTCTTGTCCCACCACGGCAGATCTAACCTGTCCTCATCCCCCAGCTTCCTGGGCCTCATCAACAGCTCCAGTGGGGGGCATGCAGGGTGGTCTCCTCTCCCATCCCTCTTCCCCACCAGGACTCGCCCCCATCACAGCTCCATTTGCCTCTCCCACTACCAACCACGCCAAGACTTCTCCCCCAGAGAAGGTCCCACTGGCCTTCTCTCCCTTCCTCCCTCACCAGGCTTCAGTTGCCTGAAGACCACCCCAAATCTTGGTCTTCAGCACAGACCTCCCTTCTGTGCCCCTAGACGGGCATTCCTTCTTGGAGGTCATGAGGGCATCTCAAACTCAGCACACTGAGCCACATTCATCCTTTGCCCCCACACCTGCTTGTCCCCGTGTCCCCTCCATTCATACCGGGACCTGGGAGCAGCTTTCCTCACCCTTAGGCCTCAGGCCCTGCGCCTCGAGCCCTCTGCCTTCTGTCTTACATCGGCTACCAGCTTGCCTTCTCAGGCTTCCGGGCTTCTCCGGGACCCGCTGCTCGCCCTCCCACAGCCTCTGCCGCCAGCCAGCGAGATCCTTCCAACGGGGCGCTCACTCGCAGCCCTCGTGTGCGCACAGCGCCCGCTGGCGGTCTAGGCCGCTCACCCCTGGCCGCAGCCCTCTTTTCCAGTCTGCCTGTCCTGTTTCTCTGCAGTCCATCTGCACCAAGCCAATGGCCATGTCTGCAGGCAACCCCCTCATTCCTACAGTCAAGTCTTTGCTTATCATGTCCTTTCTGTCTGGAATAACCTACCCCCCTTTTCTGTCAAATGTATACCCATCCTTCAGGGCACCCCCATAAATGTTTCCTTCTCTGTAGACTTAACTGCCCCAGGCTGGTTCAGGGCCTTCTTGCACCCAGGAAGGAGCCCACGTATTTCCCTCTCTCGCAGCACTGACGACTCTGGGGTCCCACTGTCTCTGCTAGATGGCGTGCTGGACACACCCTGGGAGCCCAGAGAGGGAGGGTGGGAGAACGGACAGGAGTCCTGGGCTGGGGCGAGAACTGATGCTAATGACACCCTTGGCCTTCCCAGGCTGTGAACAGGATGCAGTTTGCCGCCCCGGTGCAGACATGCTGGACTACTTGCTGAGCCTGGGCCAGATCAGTCAACGGGATGGCCTGCTGGTCACCTGGTACCATGCTGCCAACAGCCAGAAGGACATGAGGGCTGCCCTGGAGAGTAAGTCCTGCGTGAGGGCTGAATACGGCAAGGACAGGAGCGGGGGAGAGGGGGGTCTTACCAGATAGGGGACCTGGCCCTTGACGGGTCTGCCTAGGGACAGTTGGTAGTGGGTGGGTTCTTGACTTCATGCAGGAAAAATTTCACAGTACAAGTCCAGGTGAATTTTAGAGGACAGCTTTTATTAAAGCTGAGGACAGGGAAACAAGAAAGGGCTGGGGAAATGAGCCTGGGCTGGGCTGTTTGGGCTCACTGAGAAGTCAGAGAAAAGGGGGCCTCAGGGACAGGTTCAAGAAGTTTGCCTGGGACGAACTGCTACTGCCCACTGCTGTCCTGGTGCAAGCCTCATGGGGTCCCTTAGAATTTAGGGGAGGCATGCCTGCGGGGGAAGGGGTGGGAGGTGCTCCTGGGAGGAAGGGGCTTTAAAGGCTGGGCGATTAGGGAAGGTCTTGGGAGAGGATCAATAGAAGATTCATCAGTTTTAGGTTGGTGTACCAAAATGAGATTTATTCCCTGAACTCCATGTGTCCTTGGGTGTGGTTGGCAAATGGCACTAAGTGGATTTCTGCTATCTCTCTCCTTGAGTAGGGTGATATAAGCTATTTATTCTCTGGTTGGGGAGGAGAAGTTCCTAGGTTTGGGGAAGGTAGGATTTATTAGATGGCTGCAAACTGCTGTTAAACTCTCAATTTCCCTATTTCACTTGTCCTGGCTTCCTGGCCTGAATCAGAGGGACAGCGCGGGGTAGATAAGACAACACTGCCTATGAGGTGGCACCAGGATGGGTACTCCCATGGCTCATACTCGACAGGACGGAACTGTGGGCTGGGAGAGGTTAAGGGACTGGCTCAGGCTGTGCAGCTGATAAGCTGTGAGCCTGGGACTCGAACCAGAAGGTCTGATTCCCAGTCATCGCGTCCTGCTCCCTCTCAGCTACTCCTCCCATCACCTGTCAGGTGACAACTGTCCCTGCTAAGGAGGCCTTTGCCCTCAAAGCCTAAGGAAACCAGAAAACATGTTTGAGTCCCAGCACTACCAAACACAAACTGTAAAAATTCAAGCAAACCGCATAACTCCTCAGTCTCCAATTCAGAATGATTGTGTCAACCTGGCTCCTTCCTGATGCACCCCACCTCCCCCAGGTAGGAACTGGCCAGTTAGATGGGATAGGAGACCCCTCAGCATCCATTTGATTGGGTACCCTTGTATCTGCCAGGCTGCCCTGTTGGGCCTGGCTTCTCTGGGGCTCACTAGAGGCCAACCCTTTGGAACCCTCTCTCTGTATCCCCAGGTAACCAAAAGTTAAGATAAGAAAGGCCTTTCTGCCCTAACCAGTTTTGCTCAGCGGTTTGAGCACTGGCCCTCGGACCAAAGAGTAGCGCGTTCGATTCCAGATAAGGGCACATAACTCTGTTGCGGTTTGTCCTGGGACCTGGTCAGGTCGTGCGGGAGGCAACCAGTTGGCGTGTCCCTCTCACGTGATGTTTCTCTCTCTGTCTCCCTCCACTCTTTCTGAAGATAAATAGAAATGTCCTCAGGTGAGGTTTTTTTTAAAAAAAGGCCTTTGTGTTGAAGCCATACAAATAAAGGCTACCGTCATAATGTCCCTCAGTTTCCAATGTGTTCTATCCCCACGCCCTGTGTTTGGGACCTGGAGAGGCTCATCCCCATTATGCCAGTGAGGAAACCGGGGGGACCTGAGCTCTGAGCAGCATACAAAATGGGAAGAAAGCGGATTATGTAAAGTATCAGGCTTGCCATGGCTGGTTTCCTCTGTGGTTGGAGCGTCGGCCCGCGGACCAATGAGTCTCGGGTTTGATTCCGGTCAGGGGCACGCACCTACCTCTGTAGCGATTCGTCCCTGGCTCTGGTTGGGGTCGTGCCGGAGGCAGCCACACGATGCGTCCCTCTCATGTCAGTGTTTCTTTCTCTCTCTCCCATTCTATCTGAACAAAAGTGGAAAAATGTCCTCAGTGAGGATTTAAAAAAAAAAGGTAAAGTGCCAGGCTTGATGGGAGGGGCCCCCAGCCCTCCGCTCCCTTTCCCTCCTGGAAACCCAGACACCCAGACTTCAGAGAACTCAGAACTCCCTGCGGCTTTGGGCGGGCTTTCTCCTTTCTGGACCTGGGCTGTTGGATCATTCCTCTAACCGACATATCCGAACCCCTTTACCCTCCTTGTCCTCCCCTCACCCCCTTGCCCTCCGATAACCACTTCTGTTGTCTGTGCCTATGAGTTTGTTTTCTTTGTCCATGTGTTGCTTTTTGTTTCATATCCCATACAGGAGTGAAATCAAACGGTTCTTGTCTTGTTCCATCTGACTTACTTCACTTAGCAAAGTACTCTCAGGATCCATCCACAGTGGTGTCAGAGGCGACCAAGGGATGGGGGTGCTCCCTGGAGCACAGAGGAGGTCACAAATCATGTGACAGCAGTTTCGAGGAGCCTGTCTTCGAAGCTGCCCCTGAAGTGACAGCAGACAGCCACAAACCCTGCTGCCCAGAGAGCCAGGCAGCCCAGAAAGCAGGGCATGGAGGTCGTACCTGTGGGAGAAAGGGGTTCACTCTGGCAGGTGTCCTAACGTAATTCCTGTATAAAAAGTTACGCCCTGGCCGGTTTGGCTCAGCGGTTAGAGCATCGGCCTGCGATCCCGAGAGACCCAGGTTCGGTTCCCGCTAAGGGCATGTACCTCAGTTGCAGTTTGTCCCCGGCCCTGTTTGGGTTGTGTGGGCGGCGGCCACTCGATGTGTCCCTTTCACGTCGATGTTTCTCTCTCTCTCTCTGTCCCTCCCACTCTATCTGAACAAAAAATGGAAAATGTCCTTGGGTGAGGATAAAAAAGAAATTTTTTTTTAAAATGTTACCAGGTGTTGAAGGTCTCCTGCTACTGTTGTGTCATCCAGTGCCTGTTGTTAACGTAGCCAATGAAAATGCTCCGAGCACACTTTGCGATCTGGTTTCTTATCTACTTTTGCCCTTGCAACAGACCAAGGCAGCAGACTTGGACTTTCAAAAAAGTATCATCTGGCCCTGGCCGGTTTGGCTCAGCGGTTAGAGCATCGGCCTGTGGTCCGGAGAGACCCGGGTTCGGTTCCCGCTAAGGGCACGTACCTCGGTTGCAGTTTGTCCCCGGCCCTGGTTGGTTGTGCGGGTGTTGACCACTCGATGTGTCCCTTTCACATCGATGTTTCTCTCTCTCTCTCTTCCTCTCTCTCCCTCCCACTCTACCTAAACAAAAAATGCAAAAATGTCCTCGGGTGAGGATGATAAAAAAAGAAAAAGTATCATCTGTTACTATAATACCTACCAGCTAGTTCAGTGTGGTCATTTACCTTGGTGGTGCGTTTCATAGCCAGCGGCAATGCCAATACAGGGCTAATTGTCAGCCTAGGAAAGGAACTGCTCTGTAAGTTGGAGAATTGAGACAAATTGTAGAAGTTTCTGACTCTGGCAGTGTTTTTGATGTCTACCTTATCTTCATTATAATAGACACAATATCAGTCTAACACTATTTATTTTTTTAGTGAATCTTTTTATTTATTTATTTTAGAGAGAGAGGAAGAAAGAGGGAGAGAGAAATGAAAACATCAATGACAGAGAATACCGACTGGCCGCCTCCTACATGCCCCCCACTGGGGATCGGGCCCACAACCTGGGCATGTGCCCTGACCGGGAATCGAACTGGCGACCTCTTGGTGCGTGGGTCGACGCTCAGCCACTGAGCCACACCGGTCAGGTAGTCTAGCACTCTTTAGACCACAGCAGTACTTGTATCCATGTACAAAAGAAAGGGCCCCTTTTGCCCTGGTAGTGCTGCTCGGTGGTTGGAGTGTCAGCCCACACACCAAAAGGTCGAAGGTTCGATTCCCAGTCAAGGGCATGGACCTGAGTTGCAGGTTCCATCCCTGGCCTGGGTTGGGGCACCTGTGGGAGGTAACCAATTGATGTGTCCCTCTCGTACCTCTCTCCCTCTCTCTCCCTCCTCCCTCCCTCCTTTCCACTCTCTAAAAATCATGGAAAAAATATCCTCAGGTGAGGATTAACAAAAACAAAAAGAGGCCCCTTTTCTACCTCACTCCACAGAGTCTATAGATACCATTTATAGACAGATTGATTGTTTACCTTTTCTTATAGAGGTCTTACTTACTGAGTTCTGAGGATACCGCAGAAATGGTGCTGACACAGCTCCCATGGAGTTAGTCCAGTCTCCAAATCTGCATTTCTACTGGGTGGGTCGGAATCAAATGTTCTTTTGATCCACGTGAGCATGAACTGCTCCCTCTTGTGCAATACTCCAGGAGTGTAGAATGAAACCGATTCTTTTTCTTGTGAATAATAATGAGGACTTTTTTTATATTGTTTTACTTCTTTGCATTGAATGGTGAGAAGATAAAATGGCTTAGTAAAAGTAACAAAATCAATACAATCACTAACTTTCTTGTGTATATATTATTTTGCAGTATAAATATTACTAATTGATTTGATCCTTCTCGGAGGGTACTGCTGTTTAATGAAAATGATAGCTAATGGTTTTTCTGCTTTCTATAACCAATCTGTTTTAATGTTGGAGTGTTCTTTATATAATTTAGATGTGATTCATTATTAAACTCTGTTTCCAATATTGGTATGTATGTAAACATGATACTACAGCCATTTTTTAAATACAAGAGTATAAATAAAATAATATTTTTAAAAAATCCACCCTGGCCCTGACCAGTTTGGCTCAGCAGTTAGAGGGTCAGCCTGTGGTCCAGAGAGACCCGGGTTCGGTTCCCGCTAAGGGCATGTACCTCGGTTGCAGTTTGTCCCCGGCCCTGGTTGGTCGTGCAGGTGGCAACCACTCGATGCGTCCCTTTCATGTCGATGTTTCTCTCACTCTGTCTGCCTCTCTCTCCCTCCCACTCTATCTGAACAAAAAATATCCTCAGGTAAGGATTAAAAAAAAAAAAAATCCACCCTGGCCAATTTGGCTCAGCAGTTAGCAATGGCCCTTGGACTGAAGGGATGTCGGTTCAATTCCCAGTCAAGGGCACGTACCTGGGTTGCATGTTCAATCCCCGGCACCAGTCGGGGTCATGTGAGAGGCAATGAATCAAATGTTTCTCTCTATCTATCTCTATCTCTCTCTCTCCCTTCCTCCCTTCCACTCTATCTAAAAGTGAATGGGAAAACATCCTTGGGTGAGGATTAACAACAACCAAAGAAAGATCCATCCAGGTTGTCTCAAATGGCACTGTTTCATCTTTTTTATGGCTGAGTAGTATTCCATTGTATATATGTACCACAGTTTTTTTATCTATTCATCCATTGAATGCTTAGGTTGTTTTCATGTCTTGGCTGTTGTGAATAATGCTGCAATGAACATAAGGATACATGTATCTGTATGTGTAGTGTTTTTAAATATTTTGGGTAGATACACAAAACAGGGATTGCTGGGTCATATGGTAGTTCTATTAATTTTTTGAGGAACCTCCACACTATTTTCCATAGTGGCTACAACAATCTACATTCCCACCAGCAGTGCATGAAACTTCCCTTTATCTGTTGGCTATCAGTATGTTTTCCTTGGGTAAATGTCTTTTTTATTTAATTTGAGAGATTTGTTGTTCCACTCCTGTACGTGTTTATTTGATTCTTGTATGTGCCCTGAATGAGGATTGAACCCACAACCATAACAGTGGTGACCTTGGACATCCTTGTCTTGTTCCTGATCTCAGAGGAAAAGCTTTTTGGTTTTCATCATTGGGTATGATACTAGCTGAGGGTTTGTCGTGTATGGCCTTTGTTATTCAACAACCGTTTTTGAAGCTGCTCTTTTAGGCCGGGTACCATCTCAGCACCAGAATCCAAGTGATGATCAATTCAGACAGGGCCCTGCCCCCTGGTGCTTACACTCAGAAAGACGAGCTAAGTGAGCAATTCCGCGGGGCTGAGCTCTCCAAGGAGAAGCCCGCAAGCAGACAGACTAACTTAGTCGGCCTGGGGCTCAGGGGTAGCCTCCTTGAGGAAGTGATATATATATACATATTTTTTTTATCCTCACCGGAGGATATTTTTCCATTTTTTGTTCAGGTAGAGTGGGAGGCAGAGAGAGGGAGAGAGAGAGAGAAACATCTACGTGAAAGGGACACATCGAGTGGCTGCCACCCGCACAACCCAACCAGGGCCAGGGACAAACTGTAACCAAGGTACACGCCCTTCGTGGGAACCGAACCCGGGTCTCTCCGGACCGCAAGCTGACACTCTAACCGCTGAGCCAAACTGGCCTGGGTAAGGAAGTGATATTTTAAGCCACATGTTCAACAGATGAGTGGTTAATGGCCTACCTAGTAAAGATGCAGAGGGAAGAGTGTTACCATGGCAACAGCCACATGTCAGAGCCCAGAGATGGGCAAGACAAGACAAATTCGAGCCTTGCTACTCAAAGTGTGGTCCATGACCCAGCAACGTGGGCATCCCTGGAAAGCCGGTCAGACATGCAGGACCTCGAGCCCAGTCTCAGACCTACTGTATCAGAACCTGCATCTTCACGGTTCCTGGGTGAGATTTGTGTGCATGTTAACTGATGTTGGAGAAGCTGGAGTGTCTAGAAAATGAGAGAGAGACTCGGGGTGAGATTGGAAAGTCTGCTGGGGCCTGGTTATGCAGGACCACACAGACTACAGCAAGGAATAGATTTTATTCTGGCCGGTTTGGCTCAGCGGTTAGAGCATCAGCCTGCGGTCCCGAGAGACCCGGGTTCGGTTCCCACTAAGGGCATGTACCTTGGTTGCAGTTTGGGGGCAGTTTTTGTTAGTTTGTGTTTTTGTTGTTGTTGTTGTTTATGAGCTTGGAGTCTTGCAAACAGAATTTGGTGGCACAACTCGATATCCGGTGCCTTGAAACCAGATTCATAAACTAACGCAGGGCATAAATCTCTATAGTAAAACCTTCGATCTGCTTACATCTTGAACTCAGTGGAGATTATTTTTCTTACCCGAATCCTGAACATTTTTCTTTTCCTGTGATGCTCTACTGTTCTATTGACCTGTAAAAATACCAACTTTGTTAGCTTTTTAGGGAGCTCAAAATTTTATCCTGTGCTATGAAGATGATACAGTTTTGGGGTGAAATTTTATTTTGAAATAATTTCACATTTAAGGAAAAGTTGCAAGAGTAGAAAAACAGATCCCTGTGTACTCATCACCCAGATACTCCAATTCTTATATTTTACTTATTTTGCTTTATATGATGCTAATTTAAAATAACCATTTAAAAGAAATCTTCACCTGACAATATTTTTCCATTGATTTTTTTTTTCTTTTTAGATTGAGTGGGCAGAAGGAAGGGAGAGAGATAAAGAAACATCAGTGTAGCCCTGGCCGGTTTGGCTCAGCGGTTAGAGCATCAGCCTGCGGTCCCGAGAGACCCGGGTTCGGTTCCCACTAAAGTCATGTACCTTGGTTGCAGTTTGTCCCCAGCCCTGGTCGGTCGTGCGGGTGGCAGCCACTCAATGTGTCCCTTTCACATTGATATTTCTCTCTCTCTCTCTCTCTCTCTCTTCCTCCCACTCTACCTGAACAAAAAATGTCCTCGGGTGAAGATAAAAAAATTTAAAAAAAGAAACATCAGTGTGTCTTCGGACCCATCGATTAGTTGCCTCCAGCATGGCTGCAGCTGGGGCCGGGGATCAAACCCGAGACTCTTTGGTCCTCAAGTTGAGGCTCCATCCACTGAGCCAAACCATCCAGAGATGAAATAGCCATTTTCTAATCCTCAGAATTCTAGGTAGTTCTCTACCTGTGTAGAGCATAGAAATAAATATATCTGATTTTTAACCGAAGTGACAAGGTCAAGTATGTGTTTAGAATACTCGCTCTAGTGGCTGTGCGGAAAATGGACCTGGAGGGAAACAGGGCTAGAGGGGAGGGGAACAGTCAGGAGGCCGTCAGTGTAAAGCAAGAGAAAAGGCCGCTTCTGACGACTGTCTGTGATGTTGAGAAAGCTCAGAACGGCCCCCTCCCTTCACTGCACCCCCCAAACGCAGGTCGCCGCGGGCAGGGTCTCCCAGCATCTTCGTCCTACTGGGAAGTCCTCAGCTCCTACTCGAGGACAGCTATCTGAGTTAATTGCATGGATTTAAAGGACAAAAGTGACCATGCTGGCGGGTACAGGGAGACGGGCGGGCTTATGCACTTTGGGTGCGAACACGAAGCCTGACGATTTTTTTGGACAGTGATTTGATAATATGGGCATAAAGTGACCCTGTATTGCCCTGACTCAAATTCCACAAGTAGGAAAAACCAGCATCATTAGTTATTCGTAGCAAAAAATTAGAAACTACAGAAATGTCCTGGGAATAGGAGGGGCTAACTCAATTGTGGCATGCACCCTCAACAGGGGCTTTTGTAGCCTTTTTTTTCTTTCATGGAGCATATAAAAGTTGAAAATGTGTTATAATTTTGAAAGAAAAAGATTAAAAATTAGACATGCAGGGTGCTCTCAACTGTGTGAAAACTATAGTGACGAAAATAGATTACAACGTGAACTATGATGGAAATGTGGATGAACTCTTCCCTTCCTGCTTTTCTGTATTTTCCAAGTGTTCTATAATAAACATGCAACATTTTGTATGCACAGAAACATTACTTGAAAACAATCAGGAACTGATCGACTTCTGTCTTGCACAGGCAACATCATGATCCTGGAGGCAGATGTCAACATAGAAGGGCTCAACACAGCCAATGAGACAGGGGTCCCCATCATGGCGCACCCCCCAGCCATCTACAGTGACAACACCCTGCAGCAGTGGCTAGAGGCTGTGCTGTCCTCTTCCCAGAAGGGTAAGCAGCTCCCTCAGCCCCCTCCCCAGCTCCCCAGCCCTCTGGTCCTCAGACAGCATGTGCAGGGATCCTTCCCCTGGGAGGCAAGTCCACTTGCACATTGCCTTGGCTTTCCAGCCCAATGTCCCAGAGGCCCAGGCTCGGAGCTCTAGGTGAGACCGGGAATGTGAGAGGGCACATCCTGGGTGTTAGCTCCTAGACACAGGTGAGATGGAGGGTGTAGCTCCCTCCTTCAGTGGTCCTTCCTCCCTGGGTTAACTCTACCTGTCTGAAAGCCCTTCTTCATACTCAGCCAGAATCTGGTCCCATTCTTCCTCCCCCCACCCCTTCCCCCAACACACACACCATCCCTGCTCTTTCTGACCCACGTCTTCCAGCTCCTTCTATCCTGGGCATGAGGAGCCAGTTCCCCAAGCCCTCAGCCTCCTCCCTACAGGTATCAAGCTAGACTTCAAGAGTCTTAAGGCCGTGGCACCCTCCCTGGATCTCCTGCGGCGGCTGACAGAGAATGGGAAAGTCCGGAGGCCTGTGTGGGTCAACGCTGACATCCTGAAGGGCCCCAATGTGCCCATCTCCATTGAAGTCAATGCCACACAGTGAGTGTTCCCCTCTCTGCCCCAACTGTGTCCAGCCCTCTTCCTTCAATATTTGGCACAGGAAGTGCTCAGGGGACCTTTCCTGAGTTGGCCTCCAGACATGCCATATACTCTGATCTCTAAGCCTTAACACAGGCTATTCCCTTTGCCCTGAATGCCTTTCCCTCATTTCCTGATGAACCTTTGCCCAGCCATTACCTCCTCCAAAAACTGCCCCCACATCCCAGGCTGACTTCCAGACTTCCTCCTAACAGCCCTGATTTCACTGGAGTTACCTCAGTGACCAGGACAGGGCTTTACCTACTAGAAAACGTCTCAAATGCTGACTCCTTGCCCAGGCCCCATGAAATCCCAGCACTGCCCCCAACAGCTTCACACATACCAGCTGTATGTACACTACAGTTTACAAAAAAGGGCCACATAAAAGGAAAGAATATTTCTGATTTGATTCTGACATAGCACCACTAGGCTAGGAGTATTTCCCCCATTTTGCAGATGAGAAAGCTGACCATTGAGGCTTAACTTACTGAATGTTTATTAGGTGCCACAGGCACTGGTTTAAGTACTTGAGTATAGAATACCATTTAACTCTTACAATGAGAACGAGGTAGGTGCTATCTCACGTTATTAGTACAGGAACCATCCCATTGAAGTTAAATGACCTGCCTAAGTCTAGTAACTGGCAGAGCAAAGGCTCAAAGCCAGACCTTTGATTCTAAGCCCCATGCTCTTTATCACCCCTCTCTCCATCTCTCCATCTGTCCATCCAACCAGCCAACAGTCCATCCAATATTTGTGATTCTCAAACAGGTACATTTGGAAAGCGGCAGTCTGAAAAATGTAGTCAGTGGCAGAAGATAAATATGGTTTGTCTTCTTGGAGTACCGATTTTATGCAATAGTTTGGGGAGAGGGAGATGGGAACATTATTTGCCTACTGAAATTTACATCAGGGCAAAATCTGAATGAAATTTTAAAATAAAATCTGAAGCTTCAGAGACTCTCACAGTAGGCAGAGCCCAGATCCCCACCCCTGGGGCTCTGGATTTCATTGCCTTTGTCCATAAAGGGATGTTGAAGAGAACCAGCCCCCCGCCCCCCTCGGGATGCCATCTTTGAGGATCAAAGAGGTTGAGTGAGTTGCCCAAGGTCATAGTCAGGACCTGAACCCAGGCCCCCCTGACTCCAAAATCCATGCCCTGTTTGTGGGCCCTGAACAAGCCACTTCTGCTCTTTAGGACTCTGACTCTGCTCCTATATCATAGTCTCAACAGGCCCTGCCGCTTTCTGGCAGTGATGGGAACCCAGGGGATGAGGAACTGGCCAGCGAGGCTCTGAAAGACCAGGGTCTCTGATTCTCTGCAGGTTCCTGGCCTTGGTCAAGGAGAAGTATCCTGAGGCCACCCTGTCTCCAGGCTGGACCACGCTCTACGTGCCCCAGTTCCCGAACAGCACGTACACCCGAGCCATGGTAGAGAAGATGCAGGGGCTGGTAGGAGGGCTGTCGCAGAGGATCACCTTCCCCGTGCGGGCTGTCATGGTGCGGGCCGCCTGGCCCCACTTCAGCTGGCTGCTGGGTCAATCAGACAGGTGAAAACTCCCAGCCCCCGGCCCAGCTCAGCTCCTGCTAAACCCACCTCTAGGTGCTGATGCCCCTGGGAAGATCACGGATGCTCATGGCTGGAAGGGCCTTAAAGATTTTAGTCTTATCCCTACTAGTGCTCTTATCCTGCACAACGTCCCTTTCTGCTCATATACTTCTGATGACAGGTTGCCCACAATCCCCTGGGGCAGCCTGTCCATTGGTGGATAACTAACTGCCTGTTTGAGTTTACACCGAGACACAACTGCCTCGGTGGGGCTGCACAGGTTGTACCTGCAACCTCTGCCCCAGGAGAGTCCCCTTCCCCCCTTCAGCAGCTCCCCACAGGAGTCCTGAGTCTTCCCCTGTCCTCCACTCCTGACTTCTCCCCTGCCCCCTATGCCCACCCCATTCTGTCCTTGTCCCTTTCCTAAAACAGGAAATAGGCAACCTCTCCCTCTTTCTGGGGTTCTGCTTTTAGTTATCATTCCCAAAGCCTCTGTGGCTTCTTCTGCCCCCAGGAAGGGGGTAGTGCTATGGAAGAAGGGGCTGGTGGGAAGTCAGATGCTCTGCCCCTACCCAGCTAGGGTCCAGTTCTGAGTGCAGGGACTGAGGACCCGGCTGGGCCCAGGCAGACACTGAGCCTGCACTCTGGGCCCCAGGTACAGCCTGACACTGTGGCAGGGCGCCTCAGACCCCCTGTCAGTGGATGATCTCCTCTACATCCGGGACAACTGTGCCACCCACCAAATCTACTATGACCTCTTTGAGCCTGTCCTGTCTCAATTCAAGCAGCTTGCAAGTAGGGAGTGGTCTGGGGGGTTGGGGGAAGGACGGTGAGGCTGGATTCTGCACAGGGCAGCACCTGGTGGACCCTGGAGCAGAGCAGGAGGGGCGGGGCATCGGGAGGACAAAATCCTGGGTGGAACTGAGAAGGAATCTTTTGAAGCTCCTACTGTGTGCCAGCCCCTGGTATCATATGCTATTTAAGCTTCATGTGTCCATGGAGCGGATTCCTTTCACATACATAGGAAAACTGACATTCAGAACAGTTAAGGAATGTATACGGTCACTCAGCGTATACATGGCACAGCCCAGATTGGAACCCAGAGAATTTCAAAGCCCATATGCCTTCCCTTGCAGCACAGTTTCTCTGTGGGTTACTCTAACATTTCGGAGAGAGGCCCCTCCGCTGTACCCTCTAATCAATGACCCATGGTACTTGTTCCCTTGTGCAAACCCCTCATTCCCTAGCTTCCAAACCTAAGAAAGCCTACAGTAAGCCATGGGCCCACAGCTCAACATTCCTCCCCTGGGGGCCATCTAGGTGAGGGGGGAGAATAACAGCTTGGGGCCCAGACTAACCTGGCTCCATCAGGTTCCAATCCCAGCAACTCTGCTACTGGCTATAGCATTCTGGACAAATCAGTTCCTATCGTCGACAAAACGGGAAAATACAGCTACTTGGCAGGTTGCTGTGAGGGTTAGTGTGTACAGCTGTGGCACACAGAAGGCACTCTGAATGACAGCCACTTCATCTTGACCATTTGGGGCCCCACAGTGAATGCCACACGGACACGAAGCTACTACACAGGGGGAAGCCTGATCCCTCTTCTCCAGCTTCCTGGGGGTGATGGTCTGAGTGTAGAGTGGCAGGTTCCTGACATCCGGGGCAACAGAACAGCAGCAACACTTCAACTCCCAGGTGAGGTCTGCAGCCCCCTGCTCCTGGCTATACTGGGGGGAGGGGGGGGTCTTTCCTTGGGGGAGGGCAGTGTTGCCAAGGGGATGGGATTCCAGGCCTTCAGACCTTGAGCCCTTAGCCACATTGCACTGTGAGAGAGTCGGGCACAGCCCCCAGGGCCGAGAGCTGAGCTGGCAGCGACTCACATGACCAGTAGCCCAGGTGCGTTACAAAGCAGCTCCTCCACCTGGAGCCCAGCCCCAGCCCAGATTCCAGACGGAAGAGGCGCCAGCTCCTCCGCTTGGCGGCCCATGACCTCCCTGCTGCCCCTTTAACAAAGGCCTCTGACACCATGATAACCGAACCCCAGTCACTGTTGCCTCCGCTGCCCCTTCCAGAAAAAGAAGGCATGATCCTGCTGAACGTTGGCCTCCAGAAGCCTGCAGACGGGGGCGCGGTGCCCATTGTAAATGCCTCCGGGAGCCCTGCTCTGCCGCTGGAGTCCAGCCTGCTGCAGCTCGCCGCACACCCCGGACGCTGGGGGGTTCATCTGCACATAGCGGAGCCCACCGCCCTGCGGCCATCCCTGGCCGTGCTGGCCCACCTCTCGGACCTTGGTCACCTTTCTCGGCCTGTGTGGGTGGGGGCCACAGTCTCCCATGGGAGCTTTGCGGTGCCTGGCCATGTGGCCGGCACGGAGTTGCTTGCAGCTGTGGCTGAGGTCTTCCCCCACGTGACAGTGGCACCGGGCTGGCCCGAGAAGGTACTGGGCAGTGGCTACAGGGAACAGCTGCTCACAGATATGCTGGAGCTGTGCAGGGGCCTCTGGCAACCTGTGTCCTTCCAGCTGCAGGCTGGGCCGCTGGGCCAGAGCACGGCTGGAGTCGTGGCCAAGTTACTGGCAGCCTCGCCCAGGGCCACCGTCACCGTGGAGCACAGCCCTGCAGAGAGCAGCTACACATCTGTGCGGACAGGGCTGCTGGCCGCCAGGGCTGTGGACAGGACCCGGGTCTACTACAGGCTGCCCCAGAGTGACCGCGAAGACTTGCTGGCAGATGTTGGCAGAAACTGACCACCCAGTGGTGCTGGACAGGAGGACCCTGGGTCAGGTTCCATGGGGGAGGCAGGGAGAAATAGATGCTTCTGCCTTCCTCAGTGCACTGCACGTGTGTCCTTGGCAGGATGGCGTGGGAGTGGGCAGCTGCGGAGGGCATCTAGAGGGTCTGGAGGCTGGGGGCCAGGTCATTTCGATTGTCCAAAAGGAACTTCTCACAGGCCTTGAAGGTGTTGCAGAACTCCGAAGAGAGGCCGGCCACGTTGGTGGTGACGTAGTTGAGAAAGCCCGAGGTGGCCTGGTTGTAGTAGGATATCTGCAGGGCAAGAAGCCACAGTGAGGGAGGCTGGGCAGGGGACGGGGTGGGAGCCCAGTGGGCATGAGGCAGAGGGCAGCAGACTAGGGTCTTGAAGGCCATGTGATGGCAGCTGTGACCCCTCCCTCTGGGCACCGACAACCCTAGCTTCCCTGTCACCACACTGCCGGTAAAGGGAGAGAGTGATGGCAGGTCAGTTGAAAGCAGACAAGTTAAGTTACAACTGACCTTTGGACACGTAGGGCTTAGGGACACTGACCCTGCACAGTTAAAAATGAGTATAATTTTTTACTTCTCAGGGCCCTAACAGCCGTGAGCCAAGCAGGGGAGCTGTATGTCCCCACCCTGGCTCGCTCCCAGCCTCTCCCCCCCATTGTCAACACGAATGCCCTGCTGAGTTTGGTCCCTGAGAACCACATAAAGCCTGCCCAGGCCAGGAGTGTGTACATAAATACGATGAGTTTTAGATCAGAGCCTAGGCCTTCTGCCTTCAGCATCCAGAGCTTTTCCCAAGACCCTGCAGCAGCCTTGGACTTCCCTGCACAGGTTAGATGGTTATGAAGGCTTCTTTCTGCCCCTGACATGTTTAGGTTCCCCAAAGCTGGAGGAGCCCGCTATCAGGCAGGGGGCCCAGGGGCAGAATTGTGTGAGCCAGACAGTCCTGAGCTCTGTACATGCATGTGGATTTGGGGTGGACCAGGGGAGAGGGAAGGGGGCGCTGGGCCTCACCTTGGTCATCTGGTCCCCCTCACGCCAGAAGCAGAAGCCTGCGCAGAGGGTCTCCCCACGCCTATACTCTGGCATCTCACAGTGCGTGGGCAGCGTAACTGACCTATATGCAATGATATAGGGGTCCCTGGAGGGAAGGAAGAGCGGGGAGGGGCACAGGAGGAGATGAGCGTTAGTCCGGCTCAGCCCAGGCTCTGGAACACTCCCCCAACCCCTGCACTGACCCAGGCTTGAGCTCGCCTTGGCACTGACACCAGAGTCTAAAGACACGTGAACCCTAAAGGCCCCACGTTCATGCCGGGCCAGGCTGGAGAAAGGAGGCTCCTGTGCGAACAGGACTGCATCTGCCAGGAGCCAGCGTGACTTCGCTGCAGATTTCCTGGCAAAGCCGCTGAGGAAGGAGTGGTGGGCTCTGGGATTCTTACGCTTCACCTGTGCCCATCTAGCAGGGGTGAGGCTGCCTGGCCCACATCCTCACCGAGGCACAGGGGCAGACACCACCATCCAGCCAGCACGGGGCTGTCACAGGATGGAGGCCAAGGAGGCCCCTTGTGAGAAATGGCCTCGCCACCTCAGGTTCAGAGACTACCTGCTTTCCAGTATGAGCAACCAGAGGGGAGGTGTGTGCACGTCCTCCATCTTACCCATGGCAGGAGGTGGTACCTGGCGTCCCGCAGCCAGTAGAAAGAGAGCCAACGCTAGGCTGATGTCCCCCCCGGGGAGGGAGATGACCCCTACCCACCCTCAACCCAGCAGGCAGGCACCCACCCGTTGTCACAAGGCCTCCGCCGGGAGGCCAGGATCACAAAGTCCTGGGGCTTGGGGTCACTGCCAAAGGCCGGGCTGATGACATGGTAGATGGCATCGTCCTCGTCCACCTGCTGCACTAGTTCCACGCTCCTGTGGGGAGGTCACTGAGTCAGCACTTGGGGGGCACTTCAGCCCTACATGACTCAAAAGGACACAGGAGGGTAGGAAGGCCCGGCCAAGATGCACACACGCACGCACACAAGCAAATACATAGGCACAGACATGGGGACGGATGAGCACATGCCCACGGGCATGCCGCCATGCTCAGACGCATGGATAGACACCCACAGCGCACACACACCCATGTGTGTCTGGACACGTCTGTGCAGGTGTGATGATGTGCTGGTTGTACTGAACATCTGCCGAGCACTCCCTGAGTGCCAGGCACATGCAATCCCACGTCAGCCCGGGTGGCGGGTGGTCTCAGTGGCCCCATTTCATAGAGGGGCTGGGTCTCAGGGAAACAGCCTGCCCACAGCCACAGAGCCAAGCAGGAAGCAGAGCTGGGATGTCCCAGGCTGTCAGGTGCCAGTGCTATGTCCCTCAGGCCTGAGCACGCTGCACCCATGTGCCCAACACACACATAGGCTTACACCAACACACACGCACACATACACATGAGGACATCCACAGAGGTGCATATGACCATGTCCAGGCCTGCCCCTTCTCCCCTGCTCTTGCGCCCACCCTCAGAGCCTCAGGAGTAGGAAGGGGAGAAGCAGCAGCTAGGGGCTCTCTCCCCTCAGGCTGCTTCCCTCACATCCCACCAAATACCGCGATCTGCTCTGGCCTCCGAGGCCCACACCAGCCTGCCTCCTTCAAGAAGGCCCCCTACCACACAGCCAGCTGCCCCGACATCCGCCACCAGCTCACTTCCAGGCTTCTTGAGTGGCACTGCCCACAGGCCTGGGGTCACCTACAGCAGGGCTTTTCAAAGCAGCACAACCCATTTTGCAAAGAAATCTTAAGCAGAAAGCCCGTGTGTGAACAGCTCCAGTGGGCCTGCTCGGGGAGGGCGTGGAGGTAGGGGGAGAAGGCCAATTTATCAGAAATCTAATGGCCTGCTCACTGTTTCTGAAAGCACTGGTCCCCTTGTGGAGGCTTGGGAATGGAGGCTCCTCGTTATAAGCCACTGGAGAGATGATCAAAGGAGCCCCCCCAAAGTAGGGTGTTGGCATAACAAAATGATTTCAAAGGGACTTGACAAAATACCACTTTCAACCTAACATTCCAGATTAAACACTGAAATTCTGGCTATTTTCCCAAGAACATATCTCCTTGACTAAATGCAAAAAGATAGTCATATGAAGAGTCAGTAAATTTGGGGAGTAAATGTATTCACAGGAATAACCTTTGTGTTTAGCCATTCACTACATTTTAAAAATAACGTGTTTGTGTCCATATCCATACGCAGAACATGGTCAATTTAGTAAGTTGGCCATACTATGAGTTGGCCTGAACTGGGGAGGGGGTCCCCACCCTTTTTAGACTTCCAGCTGCCACCCAGGCAGTATCTGAAACTTTTGGGAACATAAAATAACACAGACTGAGAATCACTGATCATCCCAGAGTGTAAATCCATGACCTGCCTCCCAAGTACACATTTTAAGAGGAGGAAAACTAAGGCTCAGAAAGGAAGTGACTGGCCCAAGGTCACAGCTAGTTGGACCAGAAGCAGGACCAGGCCTTCAACTTCAGTTCCAGGCTCAGTTCCTTCTCTAAAGGCTCCAAATAATCCCGACCCTGAGTCCCACCTAACACATCACACACACACACACACACACACACACACACCCGGTAATGTCAGCCGGGTGAGCACAATGAGGACTAGCTCAGCAGGACACTGGAGGGCCACCCTCCCCATCAGGCCTGAGAAGGGACCCTGCCACCTGCGCCCCGGCCCTCACCGGTAATGCTTGTCCCACTCGGGCCTCCGACGCAGGTCTGAGAGCAGCAGGAAGGCGTGGGCCGCGTCCACACTCACCGACATCTCCATGTGGAAGGAGAGGTACTTGTCATCCTCCAGGATGTACAGGCTGACCTGCGTGGGACAGAGGACGGCCTCGTTCAGGCATCCCCTCCCAGATGTCGCTGGCTGCGGGGTGGGCTGACTGCGGTGCTGGGGCCAGGGCTAGGAGCTCAGCAATGCCACTGACTTGCTGTGTGACTGCAGACAAGCAGCTCGACCTCTCTGAGCCTCAGCCACATCCCTACCAAAGTGGCTGTTGAGAGAATTTGGCACGAGTGGACAGAAAGGTGTCTCAAGAAGCGGTGACTGAGGCAACAGGGAATGGATCCTCAGAGCCAGGTGCCCATCCAACCCCTAAGGTCGCAGTGGGAAAGTGACTCATCCCCGGGCACAGGTGGGAGAGGCAGAGCTTGTCTTCCCTCGGCCATGCTCGGGCGCTGCCCCACCCCTCCCCCTGTGACTCACAGGAGCAGAGAGGAGGAAGCAGCTGGGCAAAGAGCAACAGGGGTAAGAGATGGGGGCAGGAAGGTGGGCGGGCAGGGGAGAAGGATTTGGGGTTTTCTGCTCCGGCCCCTGTGAGGGCTGGTATGTTTCCATGACTGGGTTGGCTTCATGATCTTATCCCAGTCCTTTTAAGAAACCCCCTTTGACATGAGTGACTTCAGAGACTTTCTGTTGCTTGCAGTCAGCCACCTCTGGTTGCTCAGAGGAGAGATGGTGGGGGGTGGGGTCAACTACCTGGTTGTTCTCCGAGGACAGCACCCAGTTGTCCTTGGCCACAAGCATCTTCAGGGAGGAGACATTGTTGTAGCTCAGGTACACCTGGACGGGACACAGAGAAGCCTCACCTTCTCTCCCTGCCCACGGGGCTCCGTGCCAAGGCCATGCTGATGGGGGGGAGGAACTTGCACCATGAAGTAGGGTGGGTGCTGGGCTTTGGGGAGGGAGGCCCAGGCCCAGCCTGCCTTGCCCAGTGACCCTGGACAGGCTGCTCCTCCTCTCAGGGCCTCAGCTCTCTCCTGCCGAACAGGGACATAGGAAAGCCCTTTGCTAACCACATGAATCCTGAGGCACAGGCATCCTGGCCCCTTCAGGCCTCCCTCCGAACCCACTCTGACAACAGGGAAGGGCTGGGGGCTCCCATGGGGCTGAGGACTCTCCCCTCAGAGCTGAGGGCCTCACCTGGTTGCTAGGGTCCCAGGGCACAGAGAGAGGCACCTCTGTCTGCTTACAGGACACAA